TGTGAGAACCCAAGCAGCGGGGCGCCCAGCCCCACAGCCGCCGTCAGCCCCCAGTGCACAAAGGCTGCTGATAAGCATCGCCCGGCGCGCCCTGATTGGTTCGCCCCCCTCGGTACTTGGTGCTGACTCAGTACGCCCGGCCAATCACACGCGCCCACTGCCCACGAATCTCTGACAATAGGCATCACAATCTATTACTGGCCCTCCTTGGTCATCACTCCTTCTGCACTCCCGCTGCGCCAAAGCTTGGCTTCTAGCCCTGGAGCAAGGGCCCATCTTGGCGTGCCCCAGGTTTTTACATAACGCGTCGAGGCCGGCCTTTATCGCTATCTGCAGCCGCGCTCTGGCCAATCGCCCGTCAACACACCCCGACGTTTGAGTTTGCTGGATAATACTCCGTATACCACCAGGCTATCTATCTGTAGTAGCTTCAGCTGCGCATGCCAAATCCATCGACGAAGAACCAGCGCCCTTTAAATTAATGAAACTTTAGGTGGGCAAAATGCGTCATCCTTTGACATGCCGCCTAGACCATGGGGTTTGTGAATCGGCCACTCTCATGCCGCACCCCCTGTCCTTGGACGTTGGGTAGCTATCAAGATATCCACGAGTCACGACGACTACGGAGTACGATCTACCTCTTTCAGGTTTCCTTCACACTGGCGGAGACTCCGGTCTTCGCAGCCCCAGAATACTTGCGGCATTCATCTCGTCTAGCTTGTCTTGCTTGTCAGTCTTGCTTGTCTTGCTCGTCTTGTTTGTTCTTTGCTAGTCTGGCTAATTCCTGCCAGTCATGCGCAATGACGAACAACAGCCGTCCACCGCAACGGCGTTCAATGTTCCTGCAATACGACCGCCGGCACACCCATACAGTGTCACATGGCATTCTTCTTCCTGTCAGACATAAAGCCGTCCAAGATACGAACCAAAAAAGGGAAAAAAAAAAAAACCTTTAGAGTCGCAACTGCACGCCCACCACCAAGAGGGCACGGCAAAGTTGTTTCGGCAACAAAAACTCTATACTCTGCCGCCATTCGTCCCAATGGCCCTCCACAAACTCTGTTCTTCAAGCAAAGCACGGCCTGGTGCTGCAGAACCTGCCCTGCCCCGTTCCAGAAAAGAGCTGCGTCGAAGAATTCCCCATCCCGCAGAACAGACCAAACTGTCCGCCGGAAAGAAACAACGGCAACGGCTTTTACCAAAAAAAAAAGGCTGTTTCTCACCCCGTAACATCCGACATCACATTGATCCCGAGAAAATGTCGTCCAGCCCGCAAAACCCCCCTTACTCTACTCCGTCCCAAGGGCGCGGGCGCCAGGTAATATTGCCATCCTTATCGCCCAATGATATCCCAGGCCATCGTCCCCCGTCAAAAAAACCAAACATGCCGAGCCCGGACTTGGGAAACCGCCCCAAACCGGATCTGCCATGTGGGAAGACCCCACGACCACCAAGCGTCCATGCGTCCTTCACGGAACTCTCATCTCCTCTCCATCGTGCAGTCTATACAAGCTCCCCGACAATCTTAATCATCACGGGAGCTCTACAGAGGCAGGTGACCCTTTGGACTGAATGCTGCAACTTTGACAGATTACAAGGTCTGGGGAATGACCGAGTCTGGCAGGTGCCAACGCGCGCCTATCTCCTAGTTAAGACGGGCGAGATCTGGGGAAAGTCCCGAGTTCCGTTGGTACGCGAACACAGCAAAGGGTGCGTCAAAGGTGAGAGAATAAGTAAGCTTTGAAACTCGACGACACCAAAAGCGTCCTGCATGGGCCCATTTCACGGCCCTTCCTAGCAGCCCAAACTGTCACCAGACCCTCCAACGTCTTATAGTAGAGGTATTGATATCCAGCCAAACCTCCCATAATATGCGTCATGCTGCGAATAAAGCATCCTGGCAACGCCCATGGAAGCAATTGTGCTCACTACGCGGCCCCCGCCCCCCTGCGTATGCACAGATTCCGTTTTGCCCCAGCACCTCAAAAGATACACAGCTTTCCCGTCTGTTCCTCCCTACTAATCTCGTACGTCAAGATATCATGATTTCTATAATGCAGCATCAGTCTGTACCGGCGTGGAACTGCCACTCGTCGCGTCTCATCCACACCTCCCAGCACACCATCTTCTTGGACCGGCCCTATGGCCATGCCATGGAGGGGACGTTTGCTGACCCTGAATACCGCCTCGTCCGATTGCCTGGGCAGGACCCAGTCGACTCGCAGACCGTAATGAAGTACACCTGCTAATTTCTCAATCGGGTTTACGAGTCGCGTGGGAGTAACAAGTAGCACTCTGCCAATTGGGGAGCCGATAACCACTAGACATAGTTCGGGGATGTGGGCCACCATGTTGAGTCGGCTTGTTGCGCGGAAATGCGGCCTCATGGCTCGGCCGGGTGTCAAGCCCATGGTCAGGGCGTATGGACATAGGATTCCTAATTCTGGTAGCCCTCTCTGGCGAGGTTTGTCAAGGGTACGCATTTCGACATCCTTTTCATACAATCGTAGCATGTGATATCGTTCTGCGAACTTCCCTAATCCGGTGACATAGCCGGCCGTGTTTTCATTATACTCTGTGCCTCTCCGGAGGAAGTCTGTGAGTTTGCCTATGCGTCGAGGTGCCTCGAGGACTTTGCCACTGTGTGGCATGTAAATCATGTCGAGCCGCACAGGCGCATTTCTCGGCCGTAATTTCAGACACCGTGAAGATGGGGGCGGGAAACGAGCGTGGTCATGTAAAAAGCCTTCACTTTCAGGCTCTGACGGAATCAGGGAAGCAAATGGATCTGTAAAGAGATGCTGCACAGGTAGAGAACTCTCTGTGGGGTTTGGGAGGGCGGTCAACACGGGCTGGCCAACCGGCAGCGCAACATTTGACGTATGCGAAGCTTGTATTTCCTCAGCCTGGTTTGCCAATGTTGATGGGATATCGCTCTGTGCTGCGTATTCTGTGGCATAAGTGATATCGTAGAGCATTTCATCATCATTTCCGTCGTCTCCCCCAATTTCCAAATCTTCACCAGGCTCAAGCTCGTCGTCAGAGTTGGTTTCTGCGTTTTGGCCGTCGTCTGCCTCGGCGCCTTCATCAGGTTCCGATTCGCCAGGCTCAAAGGCCTCATCATCACTCACATCGTCAAAGGCAAACTCATCGTCGCCCATGTCTGCGGCCAATTGCACATTTTGGGGAGGGTCGTCCACACGAATAATGGCATTTCGCAACGGGGGTTGCGTGCACGGGTTGTCAGGGAGGTCCCGAATAGTTTTGGCCAAGTTGACCATTGGATGGGGACCAGCTTGGAGTTTGGGCACCATTTCCAGGTCCTTGAGTTCGGCACCTAGAAGCTCCTCTTCAGAACGGACTGCTAGAAAGCTAGTGTTTGGAAGCGCGAGAATCCCCCAGCCTCTATATGCACCATACGTGTTAGACAGAACAGTGACCATCAAGTTATGGAAAACGACCAACGTACCGGGATGTTGCCGGCCAGAACTCCTCACTCTTTAAAAGTGGGCTAGTCGACGGCATGACTCTGATGGCGGCTTGGAATGCTTTCCAAATATCGGCTAGCCACATGGCACCCTTGATATCGATAGCACTGATCTTCTCCGCATAGCCATACTTGTCATCAACGAAGCTGATATTTGGGATGTTATCCGCCAAGGGTCCCAATGACACGACTATGCGCCAATTACGAGCGCGACGACGCACATGCGATTCCACGCCATCGCAGCACGCCTCACAGTCGCAATTCCGACTCGACCTAGATCCGTTGGTGGCCAAGGCCGGCGCAAACACAGTTACTTCGTACCGGTTCGAGCTGACAGCTATAAGGCGAGACTTTTGATGCAGCGCCAATCCCCAGGCTGAGATGCCAACGTTTTCCTGAAAGAAGGGCTTTGGTGCATTCCCTGCGTTCAGAGACGACACTGAAGCTCGACGTTGCTTTGGCGTTGCAGAGCTGGGTATCGCGGACTTGGCGAGAATGTACTCGACAACGTCCTTGGTATAAAATGCAATAACATCGCCATCGTCGTGACATGTGAGCACGACTTCCTCCTGTCCCAGCGACCCAACAATCATATGATTGATGGAGTGGGGAGACGTGGGATCGAGATAGCCTCTAATCTTCAACGCTGCCTGACTCGGAGACGTGACAAGTTGGACATCAGGATGTTGGGGTATCGTTTGTTTCGGAACGCTTCGTGGCACGTAGACAAAGACCCTGCCGCGGTATGCAGAAAAGTACAACTAAACGACGCCAGGTCAGCTTCTTCTGACGACTTGGGTACTAGTTTGTAAGTCACGGGTGTCGGCCAACATTATATTTCTGCGACAAGGCAGTCAGATTATTTCTGTAGGCCTGCATGGTAGGCACCAACTTATAAATCGAGTTTGTAGGTACCGGATGATCTTCGTGTTGGTCGCCCTCCGAACCAGGCCAGTTGGTTGGCCATTCCATCCCTGCAGGATGTAGACCCAACGAAGTGCGCTCGCGGTCGAGAATGGCTCGCTTGGCCTCGTCGCCAAACTACGTCCATCAGTCAGCGTCATGGTCAAGACTGGGGGGGGAACCAGGTGTCGGGTGTCAGTCATCAGGTTATCTGCTTTAATGAACTACATACCCGATCCGTCGCCGTCTGCGCATGGCATGTTCCTACCGTAGCAGGTCGAAACAGGCGATGCTTTGCCTCTGAGCTTTCCATGGAGGAGGGCTAGCGGTGGCCGCTGCTGGGCCGTAGGAGAAATAGCACATGTATGCGTGGGGAGACGGACGGCCGTCGCCGGGGATGGTGGCCCAAAGCGGGACGTATTTGTGTCTTGATTGCTGCTATCACCAAGGGGCAGGTGGCGACAGCAAGATAGGGAGGGAGTCCGTCCAGGATACAGTGTCGGGCTCTGCCAAATATCGATTTGGGGTAATTCAGATCGAGATTTTTTGGGAAAGGCACGGGTATGAAACGTTGTCTATTTTTTGGGTGATGATGGTCGGTTCGAAACGTGGTTCGAGGTTCAAAGTCGGAGGTTGTCGTCACATGGCCTTGTGCGAGATGGCCATGGCGGGTGGCGGGCGGCGGGGTGGGTCTGAGCTGTCACTGCCCGCACTTGAACATTAGCTCGAACCAGAGAGAGGAGGGGCTATGAAGGCGGCATTGACAAGGTCCGCCGAGGGGCTGACGATTTGTGACGCCGCGAGGAACCAAGAGACTTGCAAACTCTGCCAAAGATTCACGTACATAGACATCAAGCGCTAGTTAGTTCTTTCAAACAACCCCGTCTCCTCACTCCCGCCTCATAGTCTGCACCATACTCATCATCCGATAATCAAGCACAAGACCAACCCAGTCATCGTCCACCAACGAATAGCCCTCGCTCTCGTTCCCGCTGGGCTTCCTCGGATTCAACGCCCAATAGCCAAAATCGGCATCCACCTCGCCCAAATACCTCCACAAGTTCTTCCAGTATCGCACGTCGCCCACACTCGCCGGCACCCTCGGTGCGCCAATCTCGCCCACCCAGACGGGCGCCACGTCCCCCTCGAGCAGATACCCCCAGTGCTCGCGCATGCTCTCACGAAACGATTCGTATGTCCGTTTGGAGAAGCGACCTCCCAGACTCCCCCATCCCGACCAGGCGTACACATGCGCCGAGTACACGAGCCTGTCGGCAATGTCCAGCTTCACCGGCCTCCTCCGCGCCCCGCGCAAGTCGTTTGCAGATTCCGTCCCTTCAACCACCACGAGCCAGTCCGGATTCATGGCCAGCAAGCGATTCCCACAGCGCTCTGCCGCCTCTGCCCACTTGTGCCACGGCATCGTACCCCAGAGGCCTCGCACCTCGTTGCGTAGATCAACGCCAATGACGAGCGGGTTGTTGGTGAATCTCGTCATGACCGTCTCCCAGTTCCGTATCCACTCATCCTCGGATTGTGTCACCCTGCAAATGCCCAGGAGATAGTCATTCGCCCACGCCGCGTCGCACGGGTTCGCACCGCAGCACCACGTCGCCCTCGTGATGTGATTATTGACAATCACAGCGATGCCTTCCTCTGTCAGCGTTGTCGTGACGGCCTCGAGGACATCCAACGCCCTAAGCCCCACGAGGTCCGCGTTGGCCCCGACCAACTTGGCGTCGATGACTGGGTTTTTGGAAACCAGCTCATCTGCGTAGGGGAGTCGGACGCTGTTGAAGCCTAGTTTCTTGATTGTTTGAGCAATTACTTTGCGGTGCTGCATGTCCAACCCTCCCGGGACGAACAGCTCGTCGCTTGCGCTGTACCAATTTATCGACGCCAGCTTGAACCTCCTCCCCTCTGCGTCAACGATATGCCGGCCCTTGGTGCCAAGAGGCAACGTGTAGTTTGTAATCTGGGTGCGTTACAGGGGTGGCGGTAAAGGTCTCTTGCCAAATGATATCGACTCCATGTCCGGGATCCAAGTCGCACTTATAGCTACTTCTGATCTGTAAAAGTATCCAACAAGGCAGCCCAGGAGGACGACGACGGCCAAGAATATCCATCTTCGTGGTCTCCGTGACACAAGTCGCAATAGTGGCCATACCCTCTGCTTCCGTTTCATCCACACAATGGCGTCGTCACCAACTTCGCCAATACCTGGAGCTTCAATCCTCGCCGCGGCTCTGGTTGCAGGCAACGAGAAAAGTGGCAGCTCCGGCTCCGTCCTTCTGTCGCCATGGCCATCTTGAGAGAATCGGTTCGCTGCCCATGCCGCATGTCCAGAATACGGCCCAGGTAGCCTTAACCCCCCGCCCATTCTAGCGGGTAGACAGTGTGTAGTATCAATCTCAAACAGGGTAGTTGGGCACGCGACACTCAAATGGCGTAGGGCAAAGCAGTTGCTGCCAAATACGACGCCAAATCGTCAATGGCGGAAAGAAGGAGAGATGGTTCTAAAAGTCAAATTGATCATTTCAATAACCTTTACGTCTGGGAATCGAGTCTCAAACGTTGCGAGTCGCATTCCTCCAGGCCCATCCGGATCCGGCGCTCCCGTGCCGCCGTCGTCGATCAATCAACTGCTACCACAGCACGAACCATGACGCCTTTGTTTTTTTCTTTTTTTTTCTTTTTTTCTTTTTTTTTTTTTTTTGCTGACGAAAATGAAAGAAAATAGACATTTACGTATGTGCGAGTACATCGGCTCGCAATCCAGTCCCGCGTAAGAATAGACAAGGCAGAGAAACAGAAACCACTCTTAGGCAGGATTTATATTTACTCAACCGTACCAAATGAATATGAGTCTTGAGGCCCCAAAAGATGGCGGCCTGGAACGCAGGCAGCCATTATGCCACCCGCGGGGTCCCCCGTCACTGAAAGATGCAGGCTGCGATATCTATTCCGTTTTTGTTGCTTGTCTATTGTTGTGTGGCTGACTCCTGAGTTGGCGAGGGATCTGATGCAAGACTTGCGAAAGATGCGTGTCATCTGTCCTTTACTGCCGGGCTTACATTCTTCGGTTAAGGAACTACCGCCGACTTGCGTCTGGTGGGCTCATATTCCTAGCATGACCTGGCTCCAGTCACGCGAGCATCGACCCAGCATTTAGCACGACTTGTCTTTTTGCTCACGATGCCAGATGCTGGCGAGCAGACATTGATGTCATCGTCCTTGTACGCTCTTGCTATATCTGGCATTAAATTCATGTTGCAAAGCGCGAGAAGCCGCCGTATTGGTGCACAATTCAGTCATGGTCAGGTCGGCGCTTGCCTTTGTCGGCAAGCCGATCCAAGATTGGACGAAAATGCCAACAGGACATTGAATCGACTTGTATACTATTTGACTTTTTGTTCAATTCCATCTACATAGTAAGGCAAGGGCTAGATGCCAATCTGAATCGGCGTGCCGTTATTTACACGGCAGAGATGTGTGCCCGCCCTTGAATCGCCGGTTTCTTTGCCCACCGCACCTCTCTAATCTATGCATCCAGATCCCCGGTGCAGCCACCCCTACCTGTGGCCATCAAGTGATATTGAACAAGATGGTTTCTTGGCTTGCTCATCAATCTCGGGTCGTGGACTTTGCGTAAGAAAGAAGCGTAACGACCATGACGTCACGCTTTCCATTGCAATAGGTTCTTACAGCAAGTAGCATTTTATCTTGACTGGACCAAGTCATGTCTCCCCTCTGTTCTACTGCAAAGGGGGCATCAAGACCTTACGTATTAGGACTTGGCCCAGTAAAGTCTTGATCTCTGGGCACCAATTTCGGCGCTCTCCGGATATCATTCCGGGATAGTGTTTGTTCGAGTGGACAGACAATGCGTCCTCATGCGTCTCTAGGTGACGGTGTCGCTTGCGTTGTCTCTCTCGTAACGGTCCGTTAATTCATCAAAAGTTCTCTTTCATAGGCATAAACGATGCAACAAAGAGAACTAAATTGTATGGACATTAGATTTTGTTCATGATGAGCGGGTTCATGTCTTGATGGTCGGGTCTTTCGGGTCGCTCAGGTCGCGCAAACTTTTCCTGGTGATCCCACGAGGCTGTCTGCGGCGCTCGAGGACTTGAGAATGATCTCACGGGAGCGTTGTACCGTGCCGTCTGGCCGAAATAGTCGGGGGTTCGCCGTCCAGGCGGTGGCGATTTTACTAGAGAAAGTGGTGTTACCACAGCGCTAGAGTCCCTCGAGAGCATTTCGTACGAATGTGAATTGCGTAGGTCTTTCTTAGCATCATGGCGAGCGTCCACGGATACAAACTCTTTCTGTCTGCGGCTGCTCGGTAGGAACGATATGAACAATTCGTACCAGCCGGTAAACATGGAAAAGCGACCCAATAGGAACATGAGCCAAATGCCGTTCAACTACCCCAACATGTTAGTTAAAATGCAAAATTCTGAGTCTGGCTAATACGCCAAATTTGCCGGAAAAGGAAATAACAAATGGGTACGGTGATAGACAAGGGAGCCAACGAACCCCCAATAACAGTAACACGGCCGTAACCGTGGCTTCGTTAACGATAATGGAGCCCGCATATTTGAGACATTGATTTTTGTCACCCCCTGTACCAATGAGGCAAGTTACCCAATCTTTTGCCACGCTGGGGTCGTTTGTTACCGATTGCACAACGTTGTCTTGGAACACGAAGATGACCGAGAAGAAGATGACATCAGCAATGATGATTAGGACGATGGCAATACCGCGCCATTGTAAAGCGATGACACGTTTCACACGACGATAAGCTTGGCGAGGGGACACCGTTCTGACGCTGCTAGTGTATGCCGGGAGGCTTGACCCTTCGGTTGAGGCAGAGTTGTCGTATAAGGAGGCCAGGTACACTTTGACACAGTAGCCAAATGTAGCGAACGTAATAATCACAGTTGCGCCAGCAAAGATGAGGAGCGGGATCCACACATCGGCGAGACTATTCTTGTGATTGAGGTGGCACATTGGACCAAATCGAAAAGAAACACCGCTGAAGACGAGCGCCAGGGTGATGCCGAGTAAGGGAATGCCCCAGCCGGCAGCCTGAGCAAAGATCATGAAGCTTCGTCCAACAAGAACCTGCCAACAAATCTGAAGGTGGAGGGAAAGTGATCGTAAGAAAGCCCACATGACACCACACCAGCCTCCCAAGAGGAGGAAACTACCAGAGGCACCGCACACCTTATTGCTTGACATGCTATGGGGAGTAATCTCATCGTAACACTGGTCGGGACGAGCAGCCAGAGGAATCACGAATCCAAGCTGAGAAAGTCTAATCAGTATCTGACACGATATCGGATGTCAGGCATGTGAATGACGCTCGAACTCACATTCATCAGCAGAACTCCAAGAGTTAAACAGACACTCAGATAATGTCTATTGGTCTTGTCCACGGGAAGAGCTGCCCAAGAAGCAAGCAGATACACGCAACATATGGCGCTCACAGCCGCTACCCAGTTGGCTGCCACGGTCATAGATTTGAAGCTATCTGGATAAATCCAGTCCGTCATCGGACAAGGAAGGCAGCATTTCAGGTCATCTGCAACCCTCTGACACAGCCGGCCTTCAAGGTCTATTCCATGTTAGCGAGTATACAAGAGAAGTACAGGCTGGTAGCAAGTGGTCCGAGTTGCATACATCCTTTGCTGTGTAAATAGAGGTTTGAGTCGACAAATGGCGGTGGGCACAAATTCACGCCCGTTAGATTGACCATCTTGACAGGTTTCAATTCTCTCCTAGAGGACCTTTGAAGTCTTGGTATAAGTAAATTGGCTGGGGCAAGGTTGGCGGCTTATATTAATTGGAGTGCAGTGATAGATATTGGTCGCGGTCCCAGACGTGATGTATCATAGCACTAGCGATATTGTACTATGCGTACGCCCGCAACGTGTTAAGTAGCTGGCGGCGAAATTTCGACAAATTTGGGTGCAAGTATTCCAGAACAATTATCAGACAGCCCTTGATATGTAAAAAGAAAACAAAAGTAAGAAGTACAGCCAGAATGTGCTAAGAGTAGCACATATATAAACGCCGAAGAAACCACGAGGAGGGTGTTTACAACCCTATAGTCACAGACATGGCTCCTTTGATATACGGTTATGTGGACACTGGGCCAAGGTGACAAGAGCTTCGACTTCGAAGGGCAAGTATTCGTTGTAAAAGAAGTGTAGTAACAATATAGAAATAGGACAAGGTAAAGCAACTCGGGCCTGGTGAAGTCTGGTAAGCAACAAGTGTGATGGGTGGAGGGCGACATAGGACTAGTTATAAAGTACTCGGACGTTTACTCCGTCTGCGGGAGACAGACTCCCACAACTTTTGGCTGCTCGACATCAAAGTGGGCGGCCGCGGGCGTGAATCTTTGAGGTGTCAAGAGTCAACTGGTGTTGTGTGGGCGGGCACTTGCAAATATCCCGGTCCCTTGTTCCCCGTCTCTTGCCCCCCTGGTCGACCAGCCTGGACTCTTTTTTTCCCTCTTTCTCTCTCTCTCTCTCCCCCTCTCACTCTCTCACTGGGCGTCGCAGCCCGGGGGGCTCAAGACGGTGCTCGAAGTAGCCAGTGGAATTGGCGATGCGGGCTAGTAGACTTTTGGTGACCATGGCGGGAACATTGTCTGGATCGACTTCAATGTTGTCTGCAGGTGGTGGACTTGATCCCTGAATAACTGGAGCCCTCGGGTCGGTTTGGTTTAGCGTACACGAGGCCATGCACTTGAACACCTTGGGTGACCAACCCCTGGCAGGCAGTCTTCATGGGCTCCTGCAGGGGCTATTTACGTGCCTGGGCGGATGTGATGGGGGGGCAATGGGTCCTGGGCGTCCTGGCTGAGGTGACGAATAACATGGGGAGGCTTGACCTGCCACCCCGCCAAAAAGTCTTCATATCCACTGGAGAGATGCTGTCTTGAAGATGCTCCAGCGCCCCCGTTTATGCGCCAACTAAGTTACTCCGTACCAATGCTCGTCTTGCTCGTCTTGCTCGTCTCTCGGGCACACAGGTTGCGGGCATGCCAACACGACAAGCTTTGTCAGTGCAATAAAATCGCCATGGATGGCCAGTTTGGATTGGAGGAGCTTTTGATGGAGCCGAACGAGAGGAATACTCCGTAGGCGATTGATTGAACTGATCGAGGCGGGCCGAGGGGCAGCATGACCTCCAAACAAGCAACAAGCCGGCTGCAGCTCCAAGCCCCTGACAGGACAAGGCAGGACAGAAGAGTCTGGTGGAAGCACAAGGCCGCACATGGCTTGTGCTCGAAACGCGCCTCCAATCGCGCCTCCAATCGCGGTGCAACATTCCATGGCGAAACCAAGCTTGCCATGGAGTGACGATGAGGCGCGACGCCATCTGGGGAGGTGCCCTGACAGACTTGGTAGCCTCAGTCGAATTAAAAGGCCGATGCTTCCTTCAGCAGCTAATCGCGTGTTTTAGCCGCAAAGAATGGAATACCATGTGTATTGGGTTGTAGGACAAGGAACAAGGAGACGCATGCCCGCAATTCAATAAATACAATGTACACGAGCATGGCGCGGTAGTAAATACTATCGTATTCCGTATAGCGTCAACATCCAAGAACCAACAAGTATTGGCAGCAGGCAATCAGCATTGTGCAAACAGCCGGAGAGCAGACTGGAAGGATTTAAGCTCGTCTTGCAAGGCCATCGAGACGAATTTCGAGAATCCGGATGTCGTGAAGTTGGAGCTAGCAGGAAGATGCCAAGTCTGCCAAGCACCAGTTGAAGCCTCATCGGGCTCGATAGATAGAGGGCGGCAGCTCGGGTGTCTTTACGCCTAGGCCAAACTCGGACGCCGCCACAACATTCGTGCATGGCATTCGTGCGCAGTGCAGTGTAACCACGCGGCCCATGTCGTACATTGGTCAATTGGTGTAGGGTGTGTTGGACGACAGTTGTGGCCTGTGTCGATGAGCACCAGACATGATCGAGAACCGAGCTGGAACCACAAATCGAATCGCCTTGTCGAGTCCTCATCCAGCAAACCTTCAACGTCCAAAGTCTCCGCTTCGTTCCTGTACAACTGACACGGCAATCTGTGGATTGACAATAAATGGGTGGCTTTATCAAGACCCAGCAGAAGTGGCAAACATGGGGTCGCAGCCGTCAAGGCCTGTGCTGGTACGACAACAAAAAAACCGTTGTTGGTTGGAAACTATCCAATAGTAGATACCATGGTGGCTATTCCGTACACGGGTCGTCATCAATTGCTGCCAGGCAGGTAAGTAATCGTAGTCAGTTATGGCTCGGCGGTGCTATCCCTTTGAATGTATTAAGGTGCCGCCTTTGTATCTACTCCAGAATACCCTTGTCGAGTATTTCTCTACTTAAGTACCTAGGTACCTAGGTACTTATACTAGGCCTATTAAGCCTAATCAAATACTGCCAAGAGGCATGTACCAGGGATGATTAAGGGTACTTTTATCATTATGATCAATACGTGAGTATGAATGTACTTACTTAACACTTAATTCTCATTGGATATTAGCCCGGTAAGGGACCTTGCTGGCACCTTGACACATTCGAAGGGATGATGGTAATCCATGCATGATAGAATATGCGAGCCGCTATGCCCAAAGGGCAATCATTATCCTGAGCAAAACATGACAATTCTTCAGCGCCCATTGACCATTTCTTGGCTACTTCCTGGACAGAGGTTGGCAGCCCGTGTTGTCAATACTTGATTGCTTTTTCCGACGACCACTGCTCAAGTTCCATATGCCTCGTCCCAAACAATGTAACTACTAACCTAGTTATCTGGGTGTCTGATCAACTCAGCCGCGAGTCGAGAGCCGCTGGAGACCACCGAGTAATACCTGGGTACGCGTGTATTGTACAATTTGTGAGACATCTGCGTGATGACCCAGCTTCGTGTTCCTCTGTACTACCTACCAGACTCTACTTCATCCTGTGCTCCGGGGACTTTGTCCCAATTTCAAATGCGGAGACGGGGCTTGATAGTATCAGCTTCCGGCCGAGAGATGTCCCTTGCAATTTGCTTTTGGGTTTTTCTTCCTTGTGTCATCGCAGTGCGGGTGCTCCCTAGCTAGAAAATTGGCGGGCGCGCTTTGGCCCTCGAATGGGGTTGAAACAGCCCGCGAGAAACAAAGTTCAATAACCGCGATCAAGTCTTGGTATCTCAGATCCGGATCAGCACCAACATGGCTTGAGTTCCACCCGGAATGTTAACTAGCAGCAACTCTATTGTCTTGTCTGTACTACTTCGTATGCCAGAGGTTCTTATATTCCGTTTCCCTCGCCATCCACTCAATGCCCCTCGCTCTCCCACATACTCGCAGAGACATGGGAACCTTGATGGGGGAAAAGGGGCATTCCTGGGCCCAAATTTGCATTTGGCGGTGCTGCTAGTTTTCCCAGTCAGGTCCCATTCCATTGTCGATGTTTCTTGAAAAGACTGCAACTATTGTATTGCAAGTCCCTTTAGTGTTGCCTCAAGACAAGGGACACCCAGTTTGGCATGTTTCCTTGCTTCCCAAGCGGGGAGGGTCTCCCATTCCCCCAACTTCATTCGCAAAATATACGAGGCGGCGATACTGATCCATGAAGGACTACGAGGATGTGGCAAAGGAAGGCTGCCATTGCTCTCTTCATAGGCCAGTGTCGTAGGATAGAACGCGGTAGTTTTTGTCCAGTCAGGTTCAGCATTTCCAAGCTACCACGAGTGCCCAGCGGCTAACATTGAAGGCACTAAGGTGCCCAGGCAGAACCTGCCACTGGTCAAAAACTGCAAGTTGAACCAGACAAGTTGACCGTTGGCGCTAACTGGTCGGCCGCATTGGTGCTTTCCCTCCATTGAGGGTCTCTGGTGCGCGAGCTGGGTTCTGGGAAGGAACATCTGCCTATAGAAAGGAGCGACGAGTCTGCAAATCTGATTTGATTTTTTACACATCACTTTATCGCGTCCTTCAACTCCCATGCCGTCTGGTTCAAGATATCCAACCCGGGTCATTCAAACCAACGCTCGTGTCCATGCCATGATTGCAATTGGCTCTCCTCCACAACGACAGAGTTGTGGATATATTCTGCTCAATATCCATTGGTTCAACGCTCAGCTGCTCTGTGAAGGGGTGAGAAACTGTGAGGGCAGTTCTCTATTTGGTTGGGGCCAGTCAATTTCGGCCATGCACATCTTACCTAGCGGGCTAGCATCGTTCGATATCACAATCATGTCACCTCACGGCAAAAAACTGTGAGAGGTCGTTTTGCAGGGTGCGTACACCAATTGATCTGGGGAAGCGCTCCTTCCGGCAACCACACCTGGCCTCGCCAGTGACTCGGGACCATGGCATTGTTTCGAATGTCCCCATTGACGCTTGCCCTAGGGCTCGATTCTTCTTCAGACGAGACGGGATCATGCCACACGGCAAAGGTTTCGGGACCAAGCCGCCCATCAGCTCGTCTGAAGCGCCATAATTTCGAACTACGTGTTGCAGCCAAGTCAAGCGATTGGGCTGGCTAATATCAGCCCGCTACCGAACTTTCAACCTGTCAATTCGTCCTAATCATTGCTGTTCTGTACGTGGGTGTGTCTTCCAAAAGCAGGCTGCATCACCGGCGACTCCGGTTTACCATGGCCAACTTGCAGTTCTTCATCCCGGGTCCAGAGGCTTCTGACCTCTGACAGCTTGATCTACGGACACTGGCACATGCTTTGCACCACTCTTCGCTCCCGCAACTTCCGCTCATTTGCCTCGGTCTCCACTTTCTTCAACATCCAAATCATGAGGCGAGTCTTCATGAGATGGCGTACGACATCCATGCCATCTTCAACAACCTTGCGTCCAAGTCCACTTCTCCAAGAATGCAACGCGAGTGTGGTGACAGATCCCTAGTTTACCCCGGGTTTTTTACGACTGGGATAATATCATGATTTGGGTCAGGTGAATTTTGAAAGAGGGCTTTTTTCCAGAAGCCTGTTACGTTTTGAGACGATTCGGGGAACATCTTTACCACATTGGTTGAATGAAACCCAACTACAGTTACTCATACAACCCACCCTTACAACATATATATTACAACAAACACCTCATTGCGATACGACAATCAAGGTGCCGCCAAATTGCAAATCATATTCGAAGTTTTTATGCTAAAACTATTTTACTAACCTGCTACTACTGTAGAAACCAGAGGATCATATCGATTCCCCGCTCTTCACAGCCCTTTGGACATGGCTTGATTACAACAGCTCTCGCTTAAATTGCACACTGGTCACCTCAATTCGGGACTTTTCTGTTCGCTTTAGCATGTGAGTCTGGTGCGGCAGAAATCACACCGCAGTGACTTGCTCGCATACCTCTTAAGGACTATGAAGGCTATTGAATGTCAAACCCATATGCTCTGCAGCGGCTAACCCAACTGGGTTACAGGACGATGGCACAAACCTGATCACAGCTTGTCACTTGTTGACCGATATTCTCTTCTTGGCTAGACCAGTTTAGCTGGCATTTTGCGGCTTTTTGTAGCAGAAGTTCGGTTGTGTTTTACGCCGTGAAGAAGCACACAACATTCGAAGAGTCGAACAGGTCGTTTCGCATGGTGCCAGGTCTCAGGTTTGCGTTTCAAAGCAATGCTCCTCTCGGTGTTCCTCCGGCTGAGCTGGGGCGACAGCGGACCATTTCCTGCGCATTGTCGCCTAAGTGGTGTACTCTGTGAGGAGACCAAGTGCTCGCCTTGCCATCTGGAACGGCATGGTGGAAATCTCGCACGCCATTAGTATCCCGGTTAATACAATGTTGTGGTGTTAAGTAGTCCACCCGCAGGGCGTGTGAAAGGCCCTTGCCTGTCAACACGTTGGTGCTGACTAGAGCCTTCCCGTCTCAAACGGTTCAAACATGCCTCAGTTCTGCATGTGTTGAGGGGGCTTGTGCGCAGAAGCTTCCAGGTTTCATTTTTTTTTCTGGGCATTTCTCCTACGTAGCTGATTCTGTTGTCGTTGACCGGTCGTCTCACTAGCCCTGTCAATAAAAGGGGAGACATTTTGTGTTTCTCTCTGATGATATCCTGGTTCAAGCACAAGGGTGCCAGGAAAGTGGCGTTTACCTAATGTATATCATATCCCCATACCGACTTTCGTTTTGGACCGTACCCATCCTTGAGAAGCGTTGACCATACTAGGTATTCAATAAAATCTCGAGTTTTAAATCCAGAAAGTGCTAATTTCGGCATTAGCACAATAACATCTCTAATGGTCTTTCACCCGTTCTCACCTACGCTCCTATTCGTTCGACGAGGCAGCGAATCTACCACCAGAGTCACGAACATGCAGCTCTCCCCGCTGAACCAGCTGTTTGGGACACTGGCCGAAGTCTTCACACTCGAGTGGAACTTGAGCCCTGGCCCTGGCTCAGGGAAGATCTGTCAGCCTTCATTTAGGGTATAATGTTCCCCCAGACGAGGACGAACATTGCCAAGGATAGTTTGTCACTGTGGTGTCGATGCCTTGGACAGCCCTCAGTCTCATGAATATTTAGACTTCAAGAACACGGCAAATTGACCGAGTAGTTGTCATTAATATATGCTCACAATAAACGAAAATTTCGGACGCGGCAACACCAGAGACCCACCTGAGCTTTATTACTATAATTTCCTATGCAAACTGTTCTTTCGAGGCTAGTGTGACGGTTCGCACCGTGGTAAAAAGCTCGGTTCGGCCTCTCACGAACCGTTTGAGGATAGTTCAACCTCATGCCGCAGTCACACCAAAGCCAAGCTCGTTGTAACTAGTCGCTGCCGGAGGAGGGCACGTCCCCAACAATTCCGTCCTTTTGAGTTGTTACATTGATGGAAAGTTCAAATTATGCGGAATTCCCAATCGCATTTCTCGTATACGACAAGTTGCGGTTTGCAGCCACAAATTTATAAGCACCCCGCAGTGTTAGCTCTCGACTTCAGCAACTGCCATGACTCCGCAGTGCAGACTTTGATAGTATCTGCCGTGGTTATGGCGATTAAGTTGCGTGTATATCGGAGCCCTATTGCTTTACGGTGTGACTGAATGGTCTCGGTACTTTCAATAACATTGTGAATTTGCTCGTGCCGTTTGGCCCGAGCTATGAACAGGACGAAAACGCCAAGAGAATTGGCATCGTTCATCTAGAGTCTCAGCTGGCTCGCTTGCAAACGTTTGTTCCGTGGAAAAGTCGAAGGAAACAAGGCACCACCTGATTTTCTATGTGACTTGTGATTGAGAATAAATAGCAGAGTCCTGACGACAAAGTTGACAATGATGGCAATCAAAATCACAGGTTTTACAATAAGATAAAAAGAAGGCAAAATATGACAGCTAATCCTACCACAAGATTCAATCAAACGGCAAATGGCTCCCCAACATATCACTTTCGTTGGCATCGGCAACATGGGCAATGCGCTCGTGCAGACATTGCACGAAGCCGGCCATCCAGTGACTATCTGGAACAGAACAAGGCATCGTCTCCAAATCGATAAACTCATTGAACTCAGAGCCAAATTTAAACAAGATGCCGAGATTGCCATCGGCCGCAGTGGAAGGCTAGTCATGATCTGCGTGCTCGACTACGACGCCATCTACAACGCCCTCGACAAGGTTCCATCGTTTGCCGGGAAGACAGTTGTCAATCTCACCAACGGCTCCCCCTCGCAATCCACGGTCGCAGAGGAGTGGTTCAAGCGCCGCCAGGCAGAACGATACTTTAACGGAGCCGTCATGGCGACTCCAGAGCTGGTCGGCACTGCACACTCCTTGCTGGTGTCTACAACGGCGAAAGCGAAGAGCAATTCAGCGATGTCAAGTCTGTCCTGGGAGCTATGGTTGCCGCTCACTACGAGTTGTCCTGATGCGGGCTCAGCGTCAAGACTGGACCTCGCCGCCTTTGCCACCATGTACGGCATGTTCTTGGGGCCGTGTGTTGGTCGGTGAATCGAATCGAAGGAACCCGTGTGAATTTTTCTTTTCCTAAACAAGGCGAGGCATTATTTCCGCAAAGTGACACCGATAAACTTGGACCAGTTTGGCAATATTACCATGGTGGTATTGATAGCTTACACTGCTCCTCTTGTACCGCTTTGAACCACTTGACCACACAAGGATGTGACCCCGAATCAGGAATGAGCAAATGCGTTCCTGGACCTGGACGCCGTGGCTTATTGCACGTGGTAGAATATTCCATATCGACCTGCATTTGGGCAGAGGCCGAATTCAAAACACCCGCATACGGAAGTGCTCGGCGTCTGGTAGTCGTATCTACGACGTTTGCTGCTGTGTCTCAACAGTTAGTACTCCGTATTTATTGTGATGATCCGTCTGAATATCAGTGCCCGACACCATGTACCTGGACCACGCAGACGTTCCTACTTGGGCGTGCCGAAACAAGGGCCTTTGGATGCTTGAGGTAGCGACGGCGACAGCTACATGCCCGAACTATCGACCTGTGTGGTTAGCTTGCTGTGCCGATCGTCAACTTGGGGGCAACAGGCTTCGAGAACGGGGATGGCAGCCTGAGCTTCTTCATCCGAAAGAGACCACACGCCGACCTTTTGGCACCTGCCTAGGACGAGAGTGATGGAATTACGTACATGGTTGTCGTTTGCGCCGATGGCCCGTGGAGTTGGGACGGAGTCAAGGATGACAAGGGGGCCGTGCCGGTGGGTTAGCCTTGCATAATTTTTTCTATTTGCTTGTTTGCGCGGACGAACAGCGAACGATTTGGAAGCTGCAACATGTCCAAATGCAAGAAGAAGAAGAAAGGGTGCAACAATTTGGGAGAGACGGCGACCTTGGCTCACTCGGGCATCATGTCCGAGGCGAGACAATGGATGGCTTTTCTCCACTTGCTGCTCCTCAGAAGAAGGAGAGGGGGGGTGGCTCATGGCCCATGGGTAGGGGTGGTTTGGGACAGGTTGAGCTCGGGAATGGCATCATGATGAGTCTACTTGAAGTGCGATTGCTTTCGTGCAGGATTTTATCTGGTGCTGCGCGAGTTGGAGGAGCGCATAACGGCAGCAACCTTTCATATCCAGCATCCTTGCTCGATACATCTAACAAGCGTGTGGATGGCATAAACCACGTGCGTATCGTTGAACATCATCATCATCATCATCAAGCGCAAATCAAGCGCAAATCACACGGAGCGTCATGTTGCAGCCGTGCCGATCACGACCTGAGCCCGTTCCGTCGGCGTTGCGACGTTGCGGTCGGCGCTCCGCTGTTCCGACGTCGATGGACGTGTAGCTACCGGAATGGGGGGTTTCAAATGGTCAAGATGCAGAGAATGTCCAAATTGTGCGAAGGAGAGTTGCCATTATGTTTGCCTGGTTGTAGCAGTTCTGGTTTTGTGGTGATGGAGGGTCCCAACTCTGCAGTGGCGGAGAATGCTGGAATTTTAAAATTAAAAAACAAAACATCGTTTTGGTGTCGGTCACTGTCGTACCAACCAACGTCTGCGGTGACTTGTCCACGTATTCCGTATGCATAGAGACAGTATACGGAGTAATACAGTAGTAACTTTCTCGTACCAATGTTACCATGCCTTCTACTTGCAAGACCGACTTTCCTTCACCTGTCACCACTGTTTGCATACATCCGGCCGCAGTATATTGTAAATGTACATCAGATCAAGTCCCTCCCTCTACGTTGTAAGCAACATCTTTGTATTCCCCAGACAGTAAAAGTCTCGGTTTTCCAAGTACCTCCAACATTGCCTTGCGACCCGACATGTTATAGGGTAGGCCATTCTACATGCAACTACCTACCCATCTCCAACCGTACACCCTTCCGATGTAAAATGGCCAACGCAGCAGGTATGATTGCAAAGAAATATAAATTCAGTGCCAGACCTCAGGCTGTGGCATAATTGAGGCTAGTTGCCTTGAATTCCGTACACCGGACGGATCCGTGTGAATGAGCGACACCACAAAGTGCCCCACTAGCAGACATGGAATTATGACTCCATTCTCACTCATGACAACAACTTCAGTGCCTCATCACCGCTCCACGCCGATTCACAAAAATATATATATATATATATTTCTCGATAACTCGTGATATCCCATCAAACGTTCCATTTCTCTCGCATCAACAACAATCTTCAGCAGAAACCCCACAACCTCAACTCACAAAACCGACACGCCGACCCCATCACCAGATTCACCACCACCATGCCAATACCCATCAAAACCTCGCACTCTCTGCTCCTCGCCACGGGCGAAGCGCCCGCCACAGTCCGCGTCCAAAACATCCAATCCACCGTCCAAGGCCCCAGCGACGCCTGGGGGCGACAAGACCGCCCCCAGCCCATCTCCATATCCGTCACAGTCGGCATGGCCCAGTCCTTTGGGCCGACGTCGACGTCGGACGCCCTCGCCCCCGACACGGTGCACTACGGCCTCCTGAGCAAAGCCGTCCTCGCGACGCTCGCACGCCTCGGCGCCCAAGGGAGCAGCGGCCGGCCGCTCACGCTGCCGAGCATCCTGGCCGCCATATGGGCCGACCTCACGGGCGTCGACACGTCCGGCCGGCCCGGCTCGCCCGGCGGCGACACGCCGCGCCC